TTGCGAGTATCGAACACGTGCAGCTATCCACGTGTGACCTTCGTCTGGATTTTAACGCAGTGACCCCAAATACGTCACAACGACAAAAATTTATCTCGCAGGCATCCGGGAATACATATATACGCAATGCGTGAGAGATTCGGATATATATATATATAGGATAGAGTGAGACGGAGAAGCGATAAAGAAACGATCAGTTAGGTACTGATTTACAGTGAGGGTTCCTAAAGGTGAAAAAAAAGAGTGATCAATTTTTTTTTCTTTAGAATCTGGACCAATCCTGTCCCGCAGAATTCTCAAATACCATTGAAATAAAGTCCCGTTCGAAGATTGGTCGTGTTGAGATAAAAAGGGTACTACTCGAATTCGCCTTCAACGAGATAATCCTTATCAGAGCTACCCTATTCAGATTTCACCCTTATCGTGCCGGCTCCGATAAGATCCTCGAAGAAAATCCGAGCCATTGCTATACTTGTCTTGAAAAAAAAAAAAAATTCAAAATCATTCCCCGTCAAAGCACGAACGTGTCACGTGGACCCCCTTGACGTCAGTGAAAAACTTGGTCCTATAAAAATTTATTAGCAAGCTCTCATACCAGCGCCATAGACAGTATCTAATTGGATGCTGTATTTACAGATCGCTGGGCACCATCTCTGAACTGAATTCGTGGTTGATTAAAGACCAAGGATCGCCGATATCCAATACGTATAGGTATACACCGTATACATAACCTTATTAAAAATATGAAATTATCCGTCCGCAAGGACACTCGTATTTTTCATGCGTCAAAGTGCGGGAAATTTAATGAAAATCAAGGTCCTACCTTGTCCCTGACGAATGATCCTAATTAGTAACGAAGTCAAAGGAAGGCGGAAGAGACATCAAGCGTAAAGTGATCCTTGGGCACGGTTGGGAAGTAGCGTTCAGGATCAGATACGACAAAGTCGGGTGTTCCCCGATCTGTTGGTAAAGGACATAAGAGGATGAGTGGCCTGGTGGTAGAGAAAGTCAGTGGGTGTCATTCAATCCAGCAGGATCCCTCAAAAGCTGTGGGTATATCGATTGGAAATCCCGGCAAGGAAACACAAGCCAATGCAAGGTACGTGTACAAAGATCGTATTTCACGGGGACGATCGGTACATCGTAAAGTCTGTTTGTTTTGAGATGAAGAAGCATCAAAGAGAAAGATTGATTGAGGTTAAAGAAGAAATAAAATATTAAAGCCCGGTAGAAAAGGATTCGTTAAGAGATTAGTTTTATCGTGTTCGACGGTTGACCCGGTTAGAGCAGACTGTAAACAAAGACGGTAGTAACGGCAACGGACGTTTGGCGCCACCGTCGCAGGAATACGAATCAACGTAGAAAGCTGACCGAGCGTCGAATTTTCGTACCCGCGAGTAACTTTTCCGAGCGAGCGCGACGGCGACAAAGTGAACGAAGAAAAAGGTAAAAAAAAGATAAGCAAGAAGGACAAGGGGAGTATTAACGCTCGACAACAGGGTGCGTCCTTTTACTACTGAAAACAGGACTACCGGTGCCATGGCAGAAGCCAGCGGCGGCCATTACGGGCCGTCGACGTCTACGATCCCCCGTCTACTAGACTTCCCTTCGTTTGTCCCCGTATTGTGTTGACTTCTGCTTGTCTAAAAATAGAATCCAACAGGAGGCGTATTATAGATGCATCCTGTGTGCACGGCAAGGTGGCAAGGCGCGCGCGTCTGCCACGAAAATAAAAACGTGACGCGAATGCAGCGCCGGTATCTCTGTCACGTGTTACAAGTTGAGCCATAGAAAATTTATGGAGAATAAAAAAGACACCTCGTTCCGTATGGTAATATCGTTAACACTTAAAAGACTTTCGGAATCGACCTCTTCGATATCGAGTCTCATTCGATCCGAACAAAATTTAAAAAAAATCAATAAAATTCAAAATCTCTAATTCTCTCCTGCAGCAATTACCAATGATAATTATTTTAATTGTAATACTTTGATATTGGATATTGCCTGACACAGTCCCACGGTCGGTACATGTTTTATATATTTAATGAAAAAAAAAAAAGGAATTTCAGATAGCGTGTCAAGAACGTCACAAGTGACTCGATAATATTCATCTAATCGACATAGCTACTCGAAACACGTGGGAAGCTCAGTAATCGTTACACGCGTATCACGTATATAGCTACACGTGTTAAGCTCAAGGAAGATATATATATATATATATATATATATATATATATATTCACGTTATAACCATAAAGCCCGTGTTGGCTGTCAGTGGTGCAGTGGTGCCTGCCAGGATTCGATGCATATTTATGACGTCAACTTGATGCAGTTCCAGAGGTGTTGGGATAAGTGGGTTTATTGACTTTTTTGGAAAAATTGGAGAATTGGCCGTCGGTGCACTTGATAGCTTTATGTAAAAGTTGCAACTTTTGTTCAAAACTGAAAAGGAGTTGACGATTGTCAAAAATAAAAGCAAAAAATTGATTTTGGACATTAAGGGGGCGCAGCATCCAATTCTTATGGCCATAACTCGACCACGTGGTGGTTGCACATAAAAATAGACACAGACCTAGGGGAGTATTGGCACGCGTGGTTGTTATGGCAAAAGTGACTATTGGGGTGGTTTGTGGCTACTTCGCTAGGAGGGGATGATCGCCTATATATATATACACTGGGCCCCCCTGCAGTTTTGATAAGCCTGAAGGAATCCGGCTGTACGTTACTTTGCATACGAATATAAATGAAAGATTAATCAGTAGACGTCATGTAAATTACGTCAGAGCAAACGACCAAGTGAGATGGAGAAGAGACAGATGGATCCCTTAATTTCTACAAGTCACCCCTTGCGACAAGCTAATTTAAGGCTTTCCATATTTTCTACTAGGAAACAAACGGAGAATCCTACGGACGTAATTACAAATTTTCGTTATACAATCAGGAACCGTGTCATTACAATGGACCAGGGGGACGTTGATAAACAACGAATCTCAATGATAATGAAAAACAAAATATATCGTTAGAACCAAAAATCCACCCCCTCATATTTGGTAATTAAAAATCAACTGGAATTATAATTGTTAATTTACTGCAGTTAGCAGGTGTACGTGAAATCGGACGAAAAGACATATTCATATAGCAAGGTCCATGATTGATTATAAAATAATGATAACAGGACACTCATTGATCCGGTATCACGAGCGATCAGAAAATTGATCCCAATCGATCGTATTCGATGATAATAAAAAAATCTTTATAGTTTCGTCACCGAGTATTAACCCGCATGGTATCCTCGGATCATCGTCATTCCATCATCTCGGGATCGGCGTCACGATCGAATCGATGATTAATGGCGTATAATTATTTGAGAGATCCTTGATCAATCTTCCAAGAGTGACCAATAATAATCGTCATAATTACATAATGGCCCGACAAGTTAACTGATCGATCAACACTCCTGTCATATATACGCATAAAGTTGCACAACGTTAATAATTCCAATACAGACTTCGGTCATTCGACTTGAATAACTCTTCAGCCGAATGCTGGTAGCCCGGTCTTGCATTATGAAAGCCCGCGTTCCCTATAAGGCCTGGATATTCCAGGCAATACAGCGCGACCGCTCGACCTGCCCCCTCGTGGCAATTCCCGGAGACGGACGTGCGGATTATTCGCCTCGTATTTAGATCACGCAGGCTCACAACGCGACGCAAAGCTGTCCAATGAGAAACGTGATGTTTGCACCAGCAACGTATCATAATGAAATTGATATATAATCAAATACAACAAAGTTCGGTGCAGGCCACTTTCCATTAACCGGAACGAGATTTGAATTTGCGATAAACGTGCCGCTGCGATTCATAAGCGACGTACTGAGATCGAGACTCATCTAAAATGCATTATCCTGAACCGATACATGCGATTTGAGCGCCACGGAATAAAGCGGCGGTCTAAACAACTACTGTCCACACGGGTCTTGCAGAGCGATTTGATTTTGTGAATTTTTTGGTCAAATTACAGTCGCCACCCAAAGACTATGGGACAGCGGTAATCCAAAGGGGATGAAATAAAAGAAAAGCCCAGTAGCAAATCTCCCTGCTACACTCACTCCAATTTCATCCCCCCCTCCAACCCCTGCATATAGGGTGGCTTCGTTCAGCCAGGGATGGGACACTAAATCGCGACAGCTCAGCACTATAAAGCAGAAGAGAGTTTGGGGGGGGGGGGCATCTGGTGGCACCCCTAGGGTTCACTGGTTAGCTTCCACCCCTGTGTCTCACATTCTCGTTCCCCTCTCTACCCTGGTGAGCAATGCCAAAGCTAAGGGAATGTGCATTCCCTTCTATACCGCCCGTCTTACCACCACCACCACCCCTTTTATAAAGCATGACGTGCCTAGAGAGAACCTGGCAAAGTGTGGCATGAGAATTACCAAGACCCCCTCTGTCAATAGCAACCCCTATATATATATATAGATACGTGGCATACAGCAAACCAACCCTTGCGAGGCCTAAAGTTACCCAACCCAGGAGGCCAAGGCACCCAGAGGCCACGCGCATCTTTATGGCTCCTAAGCGAATTGCATCAACCCTTCGAGTAACCTATAGCTATATATATATATACATACATTACATCACTACCAACCCCCGTGCATCCAGACTTCCAACGTCATTCACTCAATTGCTCGTACTTGTAATTGACACGTTTACGAGGTACCTGCTATACAGTAAACCCCGTGCGTTTGCCATGTGGCATTTATTCATACAAGAATCTCCATGGGGATGATTTACGTTTTCTCCATGAATAATGCAAACTTACCCCGAATGGCTATTATTTTGAGCAAATGGCGGCTAAGTCTTTGCCTGCCACTGGGCACTACCGAAATCTCCTATAGGTATACCAAATCGACGTCTGGCCGGTGCTTTCAATTTCAGAAGCGTGTTGCCTGTCTACCGTTTCAAAGGAGAACAGACACACAGGGACCTGGGCCAGGGTTATACCTCCAGGTTGTGACGCCATGGGATTTATTTTCGTTGAATAAACGCCAGCACGCTTCGCCCCCGTATCGCCTGCGGTGTAAGATTCTCACAGTAATTCTTTTTCTGACAAGGTACCGCCCCTTCTTTTCACCAAGGGGATGCTGCTCCGCAGCACGGGTGCAGCACAGCAATCTTCGAGTATAATAAAAATCCCATAAGTGCATTCCATGGTTTGTCTACTGTCACGGCAGACACTCCCCTGTGTCTTATTCATTATGGCGGCAGCCAAAGGGTTGAACGATGCCACGTAAACAATCTTTTTCCAGCCGCTCTCAGCAGAATCACTTGTCAACCCTTGCCCTTCTACTTTCTCGTAAAGGGCTTGGCTTGGGATGCTGCATGGGATCGAGGCACTGTCTCTCCTACATCCCTTCGTCTTGAACTTCGAGAAGGGTGGAGGACTGTGCTTCCGGTGCAGATAGACTGCAATGCCATAATTTGAGAGTCAATGGACGTGTTAAGACAAAACTAGCCCCCCTTGTTTTTCAAACATCCCCTTTTTTTGTTTATTATCGTTACTCGCGCACGAGGCGTGGGAAATACTTAGTATTTTCTCGTCAAAGCCTGGATTACGTAATTACTGCGCGTTGTTACTCGGCTGGTGATATTGATTTTTTTTTAATTTTGCAAATTAAGGGAAAACTCTCGCAGAAGGTGCAGTTCGCGTGGTCGTTAGCGAAAGAGTGAAAATTTATTGTCCCAGATGATTGCCGTGACTCGCGCATCATCATTTTAATTGTAATTAACAGGTACCGTAATAAAATTGTACATGATCGCCCAGCTGTATATACAAGTGCGGTACAATACATGAAAATACGTACTAGCTTGTCCCGAGTGGCGGCCGAGGTCATTGGACAAGTAAAATATTGTCATCCAGCAGAACCGCGCACGAATTTTAACTTTAATGACCTTTTGTTGATTTTATTTCGATTGCCAAATGGCTGCCAGACGCATCTGCACTCTCTATACGTGAATTCTGCTGCTCCGTGAAAGTTCAGTGTTAAAATTGTATTAGCAATTAAGTCACACGTACTTCTCACTGTGAATACGTCAAAAGGCGACTTGGCTGTATATTATCGCGCTTGTCTGCCATTGTTGAATACAATGGGAACAAGGAAATACGATTCTCATTCTTTAATAAGTAACGGCAAAGTTTCACTCGCTAAACAAGACAGTCTCACACTTGACTTTAGCGACTAAATTACGGAACTTTTCGTTACACGGAAAGTGACTAATGAAAAGCATATTAATTACGTCTAATTGACGTCTACGTATTAATTCCAAATTCGAATTAACGTAACAAAGCACATTATATATGGTATACCTATAAATGTTTACCAAATAAAAATCAAACTTCAATTACCTCACGCTGCCTTTAATTAGTTCGTCATTAACATTTCATTATGTCACACCTGATCCCATTGCTCCCACCTGCTTAACGTCTGATATATTGAACTTAATGTTAGTATAAAGATATATTAAACTGTATAAATACCGGCTATTTTCATCGAACTTCATTCCCCTTCTAATTTCTCGTAGAAATTCAGCAATAGGTTACTGCGAATGCTGTTTTCACTTGTACAATAAGTAGTGTCACTGTTTCAATAAAATTATTTAATTGATCCTCGCGCACTCAATATTCACGTTACTTCGCGTTAACACGGCGATTAAACAATAACGATTTTGATTCATCGATAAATGTAATTGATCAAACACAGAAATCTACGTGAAAATCGCGCTTCACTGAGTTTATCACGAATATGACGCAGCGCCCGATCCACTCGCCGCAATGGCTCGAACGCAACTGAGCAGTGCCGGAGACAAGGTAGGGTGGGACTTCCACGCCAGCGCCGTATCGGTGATGTGACTACCCCCCACAGCTCTCACTACCCTATCAATACCACATACCAAGAAGATACTGGAAGCTGCAGCGTATTCTAATCTTGCGACAACATATATGTAGACAGATAATATGGAAGAAGACACTGAGTATATGTATATACAGTACGCGTTGAGTTTGAAATTGAAGAATTTTCAATATTTCGCACAATTCTTTAGTCGGCAATAAAATAGACAACATTATTAACGAGAATATTGCATGGAATTTTATAATAATACACATTGATTTATATGCAACCGAATTGTTGCATTTATGTCAAGCAGTACTTTAGCCCGAACTTCTTTTATCAAATTTAGGCTGGGAACTGTTTAATATGGAGACGAGCGGCTCTAGTTCGTTTGTTAAGGGTGGCTTATCTTACTGGGGTGACATTAGGGGAACGGTGTATCTATGTATTTATATGAACGTTAAAAGGCTTCCGATTTTATGGTACTTCTGGGTTACGCTTGTTGGTTACGTGTACGCTTGTCCGCCATTACTACTCGAGTCAATGTAAAAATGTACTGAGGTTACTTTGGTTTAAATTATTCGAAACTAACCGGGGAATTTAATGGAATATTCACTAAATTAATCACTGTCGAGAACGGCTTTCATTTTAAATGATTCTCATTTGTCGTACTTTCTTGTTTTCGACATTAAGGGAATAAAGAAATATGAATGATTTATATCATTAATTTGACTTACGCGGTACAAGCGGTTCGAAATGTACGGTAGACTCAATTGCGAATGTACAGCGTTTGACAAAAATGTCTTTGACGTTGATAAACAGGTAGGATTATTGTAATTACAACAATTGTTTCTCTCGCTTGATCCTTTTAATGCAATATTACTTATTTAATTGTACTGACGAGTGTCGTGATGCAATGGAACAGCTAACCTAGTCCTACGGATTATACGTTACTAACGGCGGACACTTGGGAGACTTCTGGGATTAACAAAGTTAATTAATGTTTGCTCTAAAAAGTGCTGATATTTCAAGCTATACTTGATAACAGAACTGGTATGTGTATATTTTTATATCTCAGAACGCATGGCTCCTATTTCTGATCGTAAAGATACGTCTTTACAGTGTCCACGTAACCATTATACGTAACCTGTAAAAGTTCGTCGTTTATCGTCTCCAACGAAAAGTATAACGTCGTCGTCTTTGATTGTCAGCATAAAAATTAAACGATCCTGACCCACATATGGTTAACGGAGGCTATATTTTTTATGGAGAAGAATTTCTCGCGTATATCTACGATTGTAAATGTGTAGTATATTTTTTGAGAGAAAAGAACAAAAAGTCGGTTGAATGTGTAATTAGATAGCTGAAACGTTTCCGGGGCTACCATCCTCTGCCAATATTTCGTCTCTGGACGGGAGCCAGGATAAATATCAATTTTATGACGTTTACGTATTCTTCTATTTGGTTTGGCAGTCATCTACCGAATCGATTCTACCGTTTCAGCATCCAAATTCAACGGAGTTGAAAATCAAACTGTTATCGTTTCATCAATTAAAAAAAGAGTTTCTAGGACATTACAAACATTATTTCACCGGTGCACACAAGGCGTTATTGGAAAATGATATAAAGGGTATCAAAATGACCGTTACTTTTGCAGGTATAACGATATGACTTTCAAGGAATCTACGCAATGCCAACGGAAAAGCATGCGCGAAATTTAAACTGGAAAACGAAGTGTGAAAAAAATGACGTGACGCGAAAGAAGAAAAATTATCAATATATCTTCGTTCAGGCAAACGAAAACGTGTCGCAAAAAAGTCGTAGTAAAAACCATCCACCACAATACTTTAACGAGGTAGTATTTCAATTGACTATATAAACCCAATATTCATGATCCTGTCTTCCTAGGTAGACGTCCTCATCCATTGGGTACAAGCATACGTGATCTTGTACCAACCTAACAACATATAAGCACGGTGGGACAACCCTCTAGATTTTATAATATCGATGCGTGGGCCCCCCCGGTAGACGAATTGGAGCATAACGTCTAGGCTTCAGCATACAGCAGTTGAAGGAAAACCGGAAGAGGAAGTATCCGCTAAGGGTTTTTCCAACTGGAGCGAAACACGTGAACCGGAAAGAATGTTAAATTGAATTCTGGACAGTAGGAAACTTTTAGACGGTACCAAATAGACCAGTAAATTATAAACAACATAAGGAATTTAAACAAGTATACAAAAAACTGAGGTAAAATTTATTTAAGTTTCTCCACGTCCATCAATCGATAATCAATGTAATATATTTGATGTCAATTGATTATCTATGCTTGAAAGAGTCTGATTTAAATGTGATGCTTTACTGTTCTTTACCACTCATTATTTTTAGTGACGTTATATTAGTTCGCACTTTGCTCGCCAGGGCAATGATGCATGTTAACGCGCGGAATTATTACCAGGCGCTTTATCTTCACATATGGGAGAAAATCTCCACGTTGTGTTTCACGGTCAATTTGCCACCTATCCATGGTCCGGTAAGTATCCGCATATGTACGTGTATACATTTAAATGTGTACTACACTCAAGCTACGTCCCTAAATGGAACAATATATGATTCGTTTCATGGCTCGTTAAGTACACGTCGCTTTACGTGTAGCAATGCAACGTTTACGTTTCCGCAAGCGTTTTGCATGATCAGCAACGACGTTTAACCGAGCGTATTCAAGAGGGTGGTTCATCTTTTTTTTTTAGGGAAAGCCACCCTTAACGTGCATCAGAAAAGTTCACGCATGACGTTGCATGGCGATGCACTTGGAGATGACCTTTTTTTACGCCGTATCGAGTCTTTTACTGATGTTGCTATAGTTCGTTGACTTTAAAATCCAGTGCATTTTTGCAAATTGCACATTTCTATGGACATTCTAAGGGTTACAATACCCCTTGTTGCTTGTTCACGACAGGGTATTTATGTAGGTACGAATACTCGTTGGTTATTTTTGTGCTTTTTCTTTCTAACGAACTAGGAACTTACGTGTTTTAGAACCGCTGGCACTGAGTGTGCGATCTTCGTAGAAATCCTAATGATTTGAAATACACAGAGCATCGTTACGCATATGTGGAAACGTACGAGTGCCCACGTACTTCGTCTACAACTCGTGAACATGGAAGACGTACTTTGGTACGAAGAGGTAAACTATTTATTTACGGCCCTTGGCTTAGAAATGGTTCTTTCACTTCCACGGTGAAATATTTTACTCGTACGTCTTTGATTTTATTGGCTGCCTAACGTTCCTAGAATATGGAACACGCAAGAGTCATATATGGGCTGCTAGGATATATCTTGACGGCGATCACGTATATAATACTGGAAGCAGAGTAAATGTGAATTACTGCAAATTTCTACATTCCAAGTAAAATTTGAATTTATTCATAATTTTTTCTCTTTGAAGCAAAGACTTTGATGTCAAAAAAGACACTTTTTGCCATCAATAGCAGAGTCATGTGAAACTCTTGAGAAAGTACAAGGTACGGTTGATCAAGTATAGAAACTTGTAAGTCTTGTCTGGCATAAGAAGATTGCATGGGGGTATTAGAGAGTATGTATACTTATTTGATCTATATATGTAACAGTAAACAAACTTCCTATAGGGAATTAAAAGTGAATCTCTAACCCAACCTTATACACCTCTAAAGGCAACCTATAATCAAGTATATATTTATAACGTGTACAAAAAAAAAAAAAAGAAAAATACGTATAAGCCTCATAACATATTTCATCAGAGAAGGTAGGTAGTCAATTGTTGAAGATAAGCTCATGAAGAAAAGAAAATATACGAAAGAAGAACCGCTAAGAATTTAACGTACGTCGGTGGCTCCAGTGATAACAAATAGTAAGGGATAGTGGGAGTTATTTATCCTTCTACCACCCCCTGTCTGCCATTCTTCTTACTTCCTACTTTCCACTAGTGGTTCCTCCCTCTAGGTTGGTACATCCTGTGACTAGCATACTAAACTACCCCCTCCATTCAGATAGTGGATAAAATCTAAATGTATTCACCACCAATTCAACAACCCCTTCAAATTGTCTTCCCCTTTTATTATTTCTATTTCCAAGCCATCTACTACTTTCTATCGTCCGCTAACTACCGGTTCTTTTTAGGGAAGTGATGTAATTTATATATAAAAAAAAAGTATATGATAGCATCAAAGAGTAGTACCAACGGAAAAACACAAGTGGGTGTTTTATACTTGCTGAAAGAAGTGAAGCTATACAAAATCATAAAGTAAAACTTTATAACGCTCCGTGAAATCGTAAACCGTAAATGGACTGACAGAGAAGTCGTTAAACGATTTCCGAGGATGACGGTGACTGGTTTGAAGTAGGCAGTAGTAATCAATGTTATTATATTATACTATAGGGGTAAAGTTATACTCCTTGCAAGTAGAATGTACGATTACTATCAGATTTAGTGATGGATACATTTTCGTGAACATTATTATAACCAGTGTTGCATTTGTGGACATAAAATCCCAAGGGATCTTGTATATATTCAGGTCTGTTGAAACTATTATACTGACTAAAATTTGTTTAAACGTAGATATTAAATGAACGAGCTAATTTCAGATAGTGAAGTTAGCACATTCACTTGATTCGTGTTCCAGAACCATCTTCAGACGATCCGTTTGTTCCTGGACGTAATCCTTCGCTATGGCGTACTATGAATATTTAGTGTGACACCATAAACATTACACTTGTACTAAACCAATTGATAGGTCAGTGGATAGTCTATTGTCCTGGCAACGAGGAGACGAAGTAATTGACACGCTGCAAAGGTAAAGGCAATTCTCAGTTTTCATTAGACAATCTAGTATGAACCAGACGGTACTCAGATTGCCGGGTAGAATTCATTTGGCATTCAATTGTTGTGTGAATCGGTAATGTTGTATCTGGCTTAGTGAATAGTCGTATAAGCGAAAGACTTATTCGCTTGAAAAGCTTTGTGACGAGATTTTATGCAGCTTGCGAAGCGGCTTCTAGTTTTTCGCTATCATTTTACCTCTTTTTTTTAACTTGTAAGTAATAAGTATGTCTAGTATTTACTTGTTGTCTTTTGTTCTGAGTTTATCTTGTTTTGTCATTTATTTTCTTTACCTGTTTATTTGTATTTTGCGGAAAAGGATTTAAAAAATGACGTCACAAGCAGCCTCCGTGGCGCAAGGGGTTAGCGCGTTCGGCTGTTAACCGAAAGGTTGGTGGTTCCAGCCCACCCGGGGGCGTTTCTTTTGACCTTAACACTCGTCTTTGTCCTTTTTGATTCTTTATCACGTTTGAGGTCAAGTACCAGCAGGCTCTTCAGATCTGAACACCTGATTGTTCATCTGCGTTAAGGCAGGTACAAACAGAAGGTTTATTGTTCTGTTATAGTCCTGCCAGATTATAATTAAAGACTTTCTTGTATGGGATATTGTGATTGACGTATGTTTAAGCTAAATTATCAATGGAATTTATTGGAAATGTTAGGTTAGACAAATTCATTTACGTGTAACGTGGCTAGGGTTTTTGATTTGCCGGGGGAAGTTGGTACGCATGTGATATTGTGGGCGCGGGAACTAAGGCATGCGGGGGATTCCCTTAATTTCTTCTTTGAGGACATGATGCTGTGGTCAGAGTAACATGTGACTTTTAGAAAGTATTCTATATTGTTAATTGAAGTTTTCGGATATCTAATACATTGGAGATATAATAGATAAATATTGAACTGTGCATATTCGATTGAATAACTACTGTAGAACGATAAAGTGCAACTAACACAAGCACTGAAATTTTGTTTCTTTGTACTGAGGTAGTACAGTACAAAGTACTATATTATTTTTAATGAAAGCATGATAATCACACATATTTCACACTAATGATGAGACTTTGCGAAAGGCAAAGTTAATTTTATACTATGCAGTGCTTACCACACTTGGGGTCTCTTGATTATAATTATGTGTGTATTACTTTATATTATTTTATATTTATATTCATGTGTGTCATACATGTTGCTAGATTTGTTAGTTTATATAATTTATGATTTATGTTTCTTTAATCCAATTATTGGTAATTAGATCCTTGTTACATTTGGTTGTCGCACATGCAATCTGTGCCTATGAAATTATATGTGAGTCCATATGGTCTGCCACGATTGAAAGTGAATTGAAAGAGAGATGCATAATGTATGGTATAGATTCTATTACCATTGATCCAAATTGACAGCTATAAAGGTTACCTTATAATAACATGGAATTATGTATGATCTTTTAAAGAGAAGGAAGATATTTTTGGATAACAAAAAGGTTATATATTTCTTATAATTAAAAACTATAATGAAGGTCTATAACGAGTAAGAGAATAATTATAAAGAAAGAATTGGATACAAAAGGGCACAACCTACTTAGATATTCCATTCTAATATTTATTACAAACTGTTTATTTTTATATTAATAATGAATTTAATGAGATCAATTTCATGAAATTAGAATCATTAAATAGCATTAATTAAGAAAAGGTTAATATAAATAGTATCAAGAAAGTCCTGAGAGGAATATTTGCATTTAAATAATTTATGCAGAAGTAAATTAGTTAACCTTATTACCAATTGCATTATCAGAGTATTAACAACTTATAACGAGTATCAAAATATATATGCTGTGCTCTGTACTTAATTCTTTTGTTTAAAGTAAAATGTTTAATTTTTAAATATTTTTCCTCATCGATTCCTTACAATCAACCTTAATGTTTAAAAAAAATGAATTGTGCAATGAGCAAAGTCAAAATTAAACGCCCAACGTGGGGCTCGAACCCACGACCCTGAGATTAAGAGTCTCATGCTCTACCGACTGAGCTAGCCGGGCATCTGTGTATCCAGCCTATCCATGTTTGTCTACAGTGTAGTAGCTAAAAATAGATGCATCTAATCACTTTAGAAGTAGGTACGACATCTATATTTTTCTTAGTATGAATTGAAATATTCATTCTGACATGGTACTTACGCAATATGAAATTATTGTAATAAACATTCACTGTTACTCCAATTCATGAAAATCTATGAAAATTTCAAATATAATCCTCGGTAGTATAGTGGTAAGTATCCCCGCCTGTCACGCGGGAGACCGGGGTTCGATTCCCCGCCGGGGAGGATTATTTTTGCTTTTTATACCCAAAGTTCTCAAAGTAATGTGAAAGATCAATTTCAAAACGCGCGATACTCGATCGCGACTTTCCCTTAGCCGTACCAAAACCTAATATGAATTTTTGGAGTGAGTAGCGCGCAGTAAATATACTAGATATCAAAGAGATATGAGAAAGTAGCAAATTAAATAAATGAATAGGGTTATTAGTTACACTTCAATGTTGATTAAAACGTCATTACGAACTGATACAGAAATAATATATTTTTTTCTTTCAGGATTGGAGTCATTGGGGAATTTCTACGCTCTATTATATTCTACCTGACATTATTTGCCCTGCCTTCTGGTCTTTCTTTTGAAGAATAAAGCCAATCATAGAACGAAGTAGAAACACCCTACCTTTTCAGTATTGGAAATTTTTGCTACCTGGGCTCCATTGTACTATTAATCAAAAAGCGGCAACTGGTATGAAAATCATATCTCAATTTGACACTTTCAAAGTCCCTCACAAGTGAATAACCAAACTAAATAATACATTGAATAGTAAAGCTGACAGATGTTTGTCGAATTTGCGCAAAGAAAAATTGTCCACAAATATTTCCACTGACAAGAAAATCGTTATTAAAAGGAGTACGACGCCGCTAATGTCAGAAGTCTCAAGAGAAGCTTAACGAAGCCCAAAGGCAAATTGAAAAGAATAACTTTAATAAGTAGTAGCTGTATCTTAACGCTGAACTTTCTTAACCACAAGATTACGAACCGTCTACAGAGTGGCAGAGAAATAGAGGGAGCAGAGCCGAAACTTTTATTACGAAAGTTTCTTGTCGAAAACCGAAGCGGGTTCGTGCATCGCATAAGTTATGCAATCGTGTAATATACCGCCGCTCAAAGAGTGTACAGTAGGTTTACAAGCGTAAGACAACTCTTAAAGCGACATAAATAACGAGCATTCGTTAAATGATTTATAATATACATACAATATGTAAATCCACGAGGATATATACAGGCTCGATAACCGCCTTTAAAATCGTCAGTATTATCACGCTGATACGGTTTATTGTTTAACGTATAAAATTCTTTAGTTCTCTAATATTTCACTAAATCCTGGAATAGCGCCAGCTCTCAGATAGTAAGCAGTGTGGGTTCGTGTCCGCAATGCGACTCTCTTTATATCCCATATAAATAGGACAGTTTATTGTGCTCGGATCTTTGCGCGGGATATTTTCTCATTCAAGTATTCTCATAGTAAACAATTATACTACTGTACATTACTTTATTGTTAGATAATATTATAATGCCTCGATAATGTTACTATAGTAAAATCCACCTAATTTCTGAAAATCTATAAAAAGTCCAAATATAATCCTCGGTAGTATAGTGGTAAGTATCCCCGCCTGTCACGCGGGAGACCGGGGTTCGATTCCCCGCCGGGGAGGATTATTTTTGCTTTTTACCATGTAAAAAGGATATCGCAGAAAAGCCAAGCAGAACAGCGAAATGTCGGTATGCTTGCCCTGCTTTCGAATTCACGCCTGAAGGTGCCGTCAGGACGGCGCCAAGCGTCGCGACGTCGAGGACGTTGCAAGGCGACGCAAGTAGTAGTAATTTTTTACAAGACTTTAAATATTCGTTATTGTAAATTTTAATTGAACTTAGCGTTAACGTTATGAATTCTTCAAGATACTTTATTCAATGTCAAGTCCTCGTGCTAGCGCGTATGAGTCTTTAAATATTTTCCAAGTATGTAAATTATACGCGTTTGGCTGATTCACTCGTCAGCTGGTTATCAATTGCGACGCTGATCATTGCAGCTGCGATAACGCTCGAGAGGTTGGTTACAGGTATAGGCGGACTCGGAGATATGTTCATTGTAGGAGCGCGCAAGAGGTAACGATAGTCGATTTTACTTAAAAAAAGAAAAAAAAATCTCACTCGACGAGGATGGGATTCGAACCCACGCGTGCAGAGCACATTGGATTAGCAGTCCAACGCCTTAACCACTCGGCCACCTCGTCTTGATTTTTCATTACTTTTTTAATACTGCGACCATACGCATTTTCGCAGTGGCAAAAAGGGACACTTCCTTGCATAAATGGAATTTATTAACATATCTTAGAACTTCAATGTATCAACGAACGTACCATGCTCGTGGTAGAATGTAAAAATTCGCAATGACTATTGTATCTGCGGTTATTCAACTTGATTCTTATAAGTCACTAGTTTAATAGAAGATATATCCTTTTATTTGGACACAACCAATATGGCCGTGCTGCTTTATCAAGGGAGCATCTGTTCATATTAAATCCTATTAAAACATCTCCATTCATATCGAATGAATGATTACCTAGTGCTGGGGCAGACGACTGGCTGCCGTTATTATTAAGGTCATAAATTCTTGTTACGTGGCGCCCTGTGCAAATCGTTTTCTTACCGCTAGTCCACACTGTGTAATATTAATGGCTTAGGTAGACAAAAAAGTATTCACACTGCAAAGTCAAATTGTGAATTGAATACTAAAATTTGCCTCTTATAAACAATACTGAGATTTTTTCTCATGAAAAAAAAAGGTCTGTCGAAGTCAATCAACATTGAATTATAGGAAATTCAATTTTGAATTAGCATCTATGTCTATTTTATAGGATATATTGTTTCTTATGGTCAATTAAGTACAGCCGTACCTTCTGTATCCTTGTCAAATTCCAGACAAGATAATTACCCAGCGATTAATCGACTTGAGTTCGAACATTTTCTTGTTTCCAGATATAATGGAAGTTTACTGCAGTTGACGCGCCAATTAGCCAATCCCTTCCTGACACGTAGTCAAGTTGCTGGGTTCTGGTACATGTAAATACATCCTTATCACGAAGTACGAATACAGCCGAGTGTATCCGAGAGTAGCCGAACTTGAGAAACACTATGGTTTCTCCATATCAAAGTATCAAAGAATGATCTTGAAAGTATGACAGGTATTTGAAAAATTCACAATTAACATTCAGTCCCATTGGCCTTGTCTTTTGTATAAAATTATAATACACAAAAATGTCCCGTTTCAGCACCAGGGTATCGACTCTTCCACGATGATCATCGTCCTAACGCCAAGAGGTCCAGCAGAAAATATCAAGCAAAATATAAGAATAGGCTGAACCCTCGTCGAAGATGCACATAGGCATGACCAAAGGATGAAGCGGATGAGGATGGTAATAAAGACGAAGAGGAAAGACCAAGAAAAACATGAAGAAGGTATCGCCACGTGCAGCAGACCGTTCAACCATGTAGGACTCAATACTCGTGGCGTCTTCTGGGTAATCGTATACGCTGACGGTTAAAATTACCACTCTCGAGGATATCCGCGCCGGAATTTACGTGGGAATTTCGTGATCGCGTCAGATACCTATACTTCAATGAAAAATCCACCCTGGTAATTCCTAACCTCCTTGACCCCGTGGCTCTGCGATGCCTCGAAGACGATCCTGTTCCACGCGCAAGAAAATACTCCTAGATATGACTTGTTAGCCCGTTCACGAATCTTCGTAGACCCTACGTGTGCATACATTATTACCATATGCACATGTACCGTGTAACTGGCACACCTGCCTACGATATAGGTACCCTTGCACTGGTCGTGCCGTATAGTTATAAGTAGCAGAGACACTGTATACTACGTTAGTGTAAACTCTATCAGTACCGGCGTAACCACGCACCTCACATTTTCTATATACAAGAACTTGCACGAAACCGAATAACGGAGCAGTGTAAGATGGCAAAAAGAATATTGAGGCAAAGAAAAATGATTCACAAGTAATAAATGTCAGGCTATAAAAATTGTCACAACTAACTAAGCCAGAAGACATTACGTACGACCTTTTGTAAATCTTTGTACTGCCAGAGTATACACGTTTAATGTATATTCAGTCTCATAATTATTTACTTTAGAGTCACTTGCGTACATACATTAGGCACTCAACATTGCGCCTTGGTTACTCGTTTACGTAGCAAATAAAACAATGCTCGGTTCGTCCTTCCATGGAGTGAAAGTTTATCAGGATGAGATCTGAACTGAGCTAGAGACCTCAGGAGGGGAAATGGGGGATAATGATTATTCTAGTAAATTCAATTCAATCTCTAACCACTCCCAGGTGTATTTATCAAGGTAGGAATAGGTCGAATGAACGAGAGAGAGGAGGATATGAGAATCTTAGATAAAGGAGAGGAGTAAAAAAGATTCTTTGAACTTGTTGACGAGTTTTTACGTCTCTGGACTTTGTGAAATATTTGTTATATCGTGTTAGGCTACATATATATATATATATATATATACATGTACAGTGTGTACATACGAGTTCACCGAGACTGAATTAAATGCGCGCTTGTACCTGTCACGATTCGTCGAACTTCTGAGTTACTGAAACGATCGGTAAGAACGTAAGGTGCGCGCGTGCGTTACGTATTTTTTTTTTTTATACATGTACAGTGTGTACATACGAGTTCAC